GGGTCTCCTCAGGGTGCCGTCAGCCAGACAGTGCCGGCTGGCGACCCCCAGGGGGAGGGCCTTCTCGGTGGGAGCCCCCACCCTCTGGAACGAACTACCCCCAGAGATCCGGGTGATCCCGGATCTCCCCTCCTTCCGCCGCGCCCTGAAGACATGGCTTTTTCAACAAGCGGGTCTGGCCTAGGGAATTTTAGTGGGGTTTTTAAGGGTAATTTTAAGGGTAATTTTAACGATTGGCCTTTACGAATATTTTCTTTTAATTTGGTTTTAATATGGATATTTATTGTAATGTTGTTTTATAAGGCTGTTAGCCGCCCTGAGTCCGGTGAGGAGAAGGGCGGGATACAAATTAAATTATAAATAAATAAAAATAAATGCACAAAGGATGATCAACAGGGATGAGATTAAAGCCAGGGTGGGCAATCTGTTTGAGGATTTGAACATCATCCCCTCCTACCAGCATTGGATAAGTGCTAAATAAAAGAGAAGAATGGGGGGGGAATGGCTTAAATCTATAGAATTACAGAATAACAACGTTGGAAGGGACCCTGGAGGTCTTCTAGTCCTACCTACCTAGTCCAGCCCTATGATTCTATGCTCTTATGTAGTGTTTCTCCACTTGTAGGTGTTCCATCCTTGGAGGTTTTCACGAAGAGATTAAACAGCCACTGATCTGAAATGGTACACCCTGCTTGAGCAGGGGACTGGACTAGAAGACCTCCAAGGTCCCTCCCAGCTCTATTCTAGTCTAGAATTTAAACCCCCCTGAAATTCATTAGCATCAATCACCCTATTGGCACACTTCCTCTCTCGCTCTAACTCTGCAAAAAGTTACTGCATCAAAGGGGTCAACGCCGAAGGAACAGTAGCAACTGCCGTTTGTGAATTCGTCCAGTCCAAACGCTGCTGGAATCGGTCCGGCCAAATTCCTGCAAAATAAAATAAAATAAATAAAAATCACAGGGCTGGTTGGGAACCCAGGAAATTTGCTGGCTTGGGGAAAACCACCAACACACACACACACACCCCAACCTTTGGTGCTTTTAGTTCCGTTAAGCCTCAATTGAGAGATGTAAAGTTGTTTCTCTGTGGCCTAATTCCGGAGCAGATAAAAGATGTTTGGGGAGAAGGTGTGACTAATCCGAGAGCGTTGAGAGAATTTGTTATATGTAAATAAATTGCCCTAGAAGAGGATGCGGGTTTTTTGTTTCTAGGTGATTCTCAAAGCAACTGTTGGCACCACTGCAGAGTTGAAAATCACTTTGGGGGGGAAAAAAAACCACTTTGATGCTCTAACAGGAAAACTATTACGGGACATAGATAATAAATATTTCGCCATTTAGCCTCAAGTTGAGCCAATGAGACTCGCAAGTCTACAAATATGTCCCAGATTAGGACTCTTTTTTTTTTTTTGAAAAGCTATCAAGATACAGGTAGTCCTTGACTTACAACCACGACGGAGCCCCAAATTTTGGTTACTAAGCCAGACGTTTGTTAAGCAAGTTTTGTGCCCCGTTTTACGACCTTCCATATGCAGTTGTTCCGTTAATTAACAGGGTCGTTAAAGGAATCTGGCTTTTGCATGGACTTTGCTGGTTCAGGTCACAAAAGGGGATCACATGACACACACATACACACACACACACACACCCCGACGCTGCAATCATCATAAATATGATCCAGTTGTCAAGCATCCGAATCTTGATCACGCGACCATGGGATGCTGCTGCAACGGTCGTGTGAAAAACAGCTCCTTTTTTTCAGTCACTAAGTGAACTGTTGTAAAGGACTACCTGTACTGCACCTCCAAAAAAAAACAACCCCAAAAACAAACAATGTAGGGTTAATGCTCCTTTCCTGAGGAGAAATCAGGAGAGTTGGCAAATAAAAGACCAATTTTACTCTCTGTGTATTGAGTCCTCCTTAAGCTTGGTTTAAATTGAACTAGCTCGCATCTTTGGATTCATACCATGCAGTCATGAGCTAGCAAAGGGGGCTTGATGGAATGAACGCGCAAAGCCCACCTCCTGTAATCGTGGTTACCAAGTTTCTTAGATTAATAAGGGTGCCACCTGGTGGCTTTTCATTGACCTGGTTGAGCGTCTTGTGGGCACAGGGACACAAAGCCAAGAGCGGAGGGTCTGAAACAAGGTTCAGCCAGGGCTTTGTGAGATGACCAAACTATGGAGAGGAGACAAGGGACAAATTCCATAAAGGAGATGATGGTCAGGAGGCTGGAATTCCATCAGTTGGGGCCGCCTGAAGCAGGCTTCCTACGAAGTCAAAAGCAGCTTCCTTGACAGCGCCATGCTGATATTAACCAGAGATGGAAGACCTGATCTAGAAGCTGCTTTTATGAAGCTTCTCTAAGTTATCCACAACTTCCCACAATCTCTGGTTGGCTTCAGGTCTATCAAGGTATTCATAACGCCCCAGAAGTGGATTCTGATGGATGGGCTTGTCTTCCCGCTCTAGAAACACACCAAGGTTAGTTAGCCTTGGAGGAGGCCTCCAAAGCAGATCTGCCGAGTCTCTCGATCTACTCAACTTTTATGAAGCCAACTAAGTCAAACTGATAAAGAGAGCATCCGATCTGATAGGTCCAGATCAACTGGATTCTGCATGCTTACCAAAGCTGTTCTTTCCTCATCGTGTTGAGCAGCCAGATCGGAGGGGTTTCATTTCCTGAACCAAATCGGGGACCGAGATCTTAATGCCCAATTGCAGCAAAGTTGCTGAAAGGATCCTGGGAAAAGGAGCTAGGAGGTCCTTCCAATGGGAAATTCCATCCAGGATCTGGAAGATGCAGAAAGCAGGGAATCTATTTGCCCGGGATAAAACACCTGCTCTTCTGCTCTCTTTCAATTTCTTCCCCTCAGGGTGTCAATTAAGCTAAGCCCCCAATGCACGGGAGGGGAAACCCAAGTGACCCACATTCATATAGGATCCTCTCAACTTTAAGATGATCCATGTCTATCTATGGAGATTCTCCATCATCCAGGTCGTGGTTGTCCCAAAGGTGCTTTTTCAAAAGGCAACTGGACTCTTGTTTTCTCCTTGAAGACAGTTTCGCTTCTTATCCAAGAAGCTGCTTCAGCTCTGCATGATGGAGAATGGAAGGATTTATGTTCCGTGCAGTCATCTGGTCGTTAGTACTCTTCGTGAGAGTCGTTGAGGCTACATGGAGGTTTATCTGTGCCCTGGGGGCGCAAACCTTCTTACAACAGCTGAAAGGACTGTATTGTAAATAGGAGGGAGGTGGAGAACAAACCCACCAGGACAACATTCAGCAGTCCATCTGCATTTGAAAGACAAAAGGCCGCTCTTTCGAAGACAGCAAAGTCCACATCCTGGACAGAGAGGACCGCTGGTTTGAAAGAGGGGTCAAAGAGGCCATCTAGGTCAAAACTGAACCAGAGGGGGGGGGATACCACACCATCTATCTCCAGTCTACAAGTCTTTTCAACAGTTCCAAGAAGGTTCCACATCCATTTGCACTATTCGGGGGACCCCGAGGGCACAGATAAACCTCCAAGTGGCCTCAAGGCCTCTCAGAGGGAGCACTAATGACCAGGTGACTGCAAGGAATATAAATCCTTCCATCCTCCACCATCCAGTCAGAGCTGAAGAAGCTTCTTGGATGAGAAGCAAAAGGTCTTCAAGGAAAATCAAATAAAGTCCACTTGCCAAAAGCGCTTTTGGGACTCAAGATCTAGAGGAGTTACTCCATTTGCTGTGCAGAGGGCGGGGATCTGGGTATAATTAAACTAT